TAGAAAACCTGAACAGGCCAATAACCATGGAGGAAATTGAAGCAGTCATCAAAAACCTCCCAAGACACAAAAGTCCAGGGCCAGATGGCTTCCCAGGGGAATTCTATCAAACGTTTAAAGAAGAAACCATACCTATTCTACTAAAGCTGTTCCGAAAGATAGAAAGAGATGGAGTACTTCCAAACTTGTTCTATGAGGCCAGCATCACCTTAATTCTAAAACCAATGACCCCACCAAAAAGGAGAATTATAGACCAATATCCCTGATGAACACAGATGCAAAAATTCTCAACAAGATACTAGCCAATAGGATCCAACAATACATTAAGAAGATTATTCACCATGACCAAGTGGGATTTATCCCGGGGATGCAAAGCTGGTTCAACACTCGTAAAGCAATCAAAGTGATAGATCATATCAACAAGAGAAAAAACAAGAACCAGATGATCCTCTCAATAGATGCAGAGAAAGCATTTGACAAAATACAGTATCCATTCCTGATCAAAATTCTTCAGAGTGTCGGGATAGAGGGAACATTCCTCAGCATCTTAAAAGCCATCTATGAAAAGCCCACATCAAATATCATTCCCAATGGGGAAACACTGAGAGTCTTTCCCCTAAGATCAGGAACATGACAAGGATGTCCACTCTCACCACTGCTATTCAACATAGTATTAGAAGTCCTAGCCTCAGCAATCAGACAACAAAAAAGAAATAAAATGCATTCAAATTGGAAAGAAGAAGTCAAACTCTCCCTCTTTGCAGATGGCATGATACTGTACATAGGAAACCCAATATACTCCACCCCAAGATTGCTAGAACTTATACAGCCATTCGGCAGTGTGGCAGGATACAAAATCAATACAATACAGTGGCGTTTCTATACACTAACAATGAGACTGAAGAAAGAGAAATTAAGGAGTCAATCCCATTTACAATTGCACCCAAAAGCATAAGATACATAGGAATGAACCTAACCAAAGAGGTAAAGGATCTATACCCTAAAAACTACAGGACAGTTCTGAAAGACATTGAGGAAGACACAAAGAGATGGAAAAATATTCCATGCTCATGGATTGGAAGAATTAATATTGTGAAAATGTCAATGCTACCCAAGGCAATTTACATGTTCAATGCAATCCCTATCAAAATACCATGGACTTTCTTCAGAGAGTTGGAACGAATCATGTTAAGATTTGTGTGGAATCAGAAAAGACCCAAATAGCCTAAGGAATGTTGAAAAAGAAAACCATAGCTGGGGGCATCACAATGCCAGATTTCAGGTTGTACTACAAAGCTGTGGTCATCAAGACAGTGTGGTACTGGCACAAAAACAGACACACAGATCAATGGAACAGAACAGAGAACCTAGGAATGGGCCCTCAACTCTATGGCCAACTAATATTCGACAAAGCAGGAAAGACTATCCACTGGAAAAAGGACAGTCTCTTCAATAAATGGTGCTGGGAAAATTGGACATCCACATGCAGAAGAATGAAACTAGACCATTCTCTTACACCATACACAAAGATAAATTCAAAATGGATGAAAGATCTAAATGTGAGACAAGAATCCATCAAAATCCTAGAGGAGAACACAGCCAACACCCTCCTTGAACTTGGCCACAGCAACTTCTTGTAAGATACGTCTTTGAAGGCAAAGGAAACAAAAGCAAAAATGAACTATTGGGACTTAAGAGAATAAGCTTCTGCACAACAAAGTAAATAGTCAACAAAACTAAAAGACAACCTACAGAATAGGAGAAGATAATTGCAAATGACCTATCAGATAAAGGGCTAGTATCCAAGATCTATAAATAACTTATTAACATCAACAGCAAAGAAACAGACAATCCAGTCATGAAATGGACAAGAGACATGAAAAGAAATTTCACCAAAGACACACACATGTCCAACAAGCACATGAGAAAATGCTCCACATCACTTGCCATCAGGGAAATACCAATCAAAACCACAAGGAGATACCACCTCACACCAATGAGAATGGTCAAAATTAACAAGACAGGAAACAACAAATGTCAGAGAGGATGTGGAGAAAGGGGATCCCTCTTGCACTGTTGGTGGGAATGTGAACTGTGCAGCCACTCTGGAAAATTGTGTGGAGGTTCCTCAAAGAGTTAAAAATAGAGCTACCCTATGACCCAGCAATTGCACTGCTGGGGATTTACCCCAAAGATACAGATGCAGTGAAAGACCGAGACACCTTCACCCCAATGTTTATAGCAGCAATGTCCACAATAGCCAAACTGTGGAAGGAACCTCGGTGTCCATCGAAGGATGAATGGATAAAGAAGATGTGGTCTCTGTATACAATGGGATATTACTCAGCCATTAGAAACGATGAATATCCACCATGTGCTTCAACGTGGATAGAACCTGGAGGGTATGATGCTGAGTGAAGTACGTCAATCGGAGGAGGAAAAACATTACATGGTTTCATTCATACTGGGAATATAAAAAATAGTGAAAGGGATTAAAGGGGAAAGGAGAGAAAATGAGTAGGAAATATCAGTGAGGGTGACAGAACATGAGAGACTCCTCTAACTCTGGGAAACGAACAAGGGGTGATGGAAAGGGAGGTGAGTGGGGGGTTGGGGTGACTGGGTGATGGGCACTGAGGGAGGCACTTGATGGGATGAGCAATGGGTGTTATGCTATATGTTGGCAAATCGAACTCCAATAAAAAATATATATACAGAAAAAAAGAATATAGAACTCTGGTAGACAGCTGTTTTCAGTCAGCATGTTGAATAAATGGGCCCACAGTCTTCTGGCCTCTAGAGTTTCTGAGGAGGTATTTGCTGATAGGCTTATTGACAATCCCTTATATGTAACAGTTTGCTTCTTTTTTTGCTGCTTTCAAGATTCACTTTTTGTGTTGTTTCACTGTTAGATGATAATGGGTCTTAGTGTGGATTTCTTCAAGTTCATCTTACTTAGGAGTTTATTGACCTTCTTGTACATTTATATTTATGTATTTCATCAAATTTAGGGATTTTTAAGCCATTATTTCTTCAGATATTCTCTCTGCCCTTCTGTCTTCTACTGGTATTCTCACAGTGGGTATATTGGTCTCCCTAGATTCTTACAAGTCCCTTAGGCTTGTTCACTCTTCCTCAAATGTTTTTCCTGCAGTTCCTCAGATTCAGTAATTATCATTGTCCTGCCTTCACAATCACTGTTTCTTTCTTCTGGCTGTTCAGATCAGCCTTTGAATTCCTATAGTAAAATGTTCACTGCAGTTACTGTGCTTTTCAGCTCCATAATTTCTTTTCATGTTTTCTATCTCTTTTTGAAAGTTCCATTTTGTTCACACATCATTTTCCTTTTTTCCACATCTTCCTTTAAGTTCTTTAAGCATCTTCCATTAAGACAGTTGCTTTAAATTCTTTATCTAGTAGATCTACCATTAGACCTTTTTCAGGGAATTTCTGCTAAGTTATCTTTTTTCCTTTGAAATGGCCATACTCTCCTGTTTCTTTGTATGTCTTGTGATTTTGTTGTTGCCATCATTGTTGTTGTTGAACACTGGACATCTGAATCTAATAATGTGGTAATTCTGGAAGTCATGTTCTCCTTTCCCAAGACTCACTGGATTTTGTTACTTTTTTGTTATAGTTTTTGGGTTTTTTATTGTTGTGGGCTATCTCTGTGCCAAGGATCAGCCAGAGGTATAATATATTTTCCCCATATATGTCTTGTTTTCTAATGTTCTAGTCTGTCTCTCAAAAGGTGAAAAGTGACAGGTGAAGGGAGTGAAAGTGGGGCACTGGCCCTTTAAATCCCGTGTAAGTCACAAGCTGGAGTGGGAGGGACTTGGAACAGAGGGAGGTGCAAGAGTGGCCACCCCCTCCTTATCTGCATAATTGTGATCAGAAGCAGAATCAGTCATTAGAACACATACACTCAGTATTTGAAAGCATTTTTACCCACCCCGGCTTGCACAAGCCACGTGCAAATGTTTCCAGAATGCGTTCACAGCTGCCTGCCAGGGACTGAGGGTGGGAGACAAGTAGCTGCTCCTGCGCTAAACTGAAATTTAGCTGAAACTAACCAAAATTAATCTCAATTTACTGTCCAAGGCTTCCCTGGAAGTCCAAGCCTTCAGTAGACTCCAGAGTTACCAGTGCAGCTGTTGTCCAGGTGCGAGGCATCTGCCTGGTGCTTCCGGCTCTGTCATCTTCCCAGAACCCTTCTGCCTGCTTTTTGTAAAACTATCTCCTCAACTGAGCTTGGACTTCTCCAAGGATTCTCAGACTTACTACTGAATGGCCCTAGACAATATTTGCATGTAATTAGAGATTGTGTGATTTAGTGTTTTGTGGATAGATATTAGCGATCCCCAGTCAGTCTTGTAATAACTGTAATCTCCCCTTACTTGGCCTAAACTACCACTCCCTCGGCATTATGGGGGCCAACAGAGAATAACAACGGGCCTGAACTTCCCAGGTACGGGTGTCTTCGCAATGACAATTTGCAAGTAGGACTGTTAGAAAATTAGTTGGAATTTTCACATCTTGTAATTGCAGATATAATTATAGTACAAGGTCCTTCCTGAGATAATAAGTAATTATCCTTCACAAGAGAACTAAAATAGGATCCTCAGGTGACTGCCTGCCATTAGTGCCATTTTCTATGATACACCTTACTATCTCATGGCCAAATTCAGGTTGGCTGAAAAACCATGCAAAACAAAAGATAAAATTCCTTTCCAAGGCTTCACGCACAGTGGATTGATGGCCTGGCCTCCAGTCTGAGAGCCCAGCCAGCAGTGCGGTTGGTTGTGTCTCACTCAGACTGTACATGGGGTAGAGCATGCCAGAGTTCCCATTCTTCCTCCTGTAAGTTTCAGGTGATTGAGCAAGAGTATAATTCAGAGCACCGGTTGTTTATTCACCTCCAAATTCCTTTCCCATCTGACTACCTCTACAGTTATTGCAAAGAGGCAGAAAACCAGATGCTCCTCTTGCAACCCAATTACCTTGTTGTAGTCTCCATCCCATCAGCTTCCCAGGAGGGTATCATGACGGATGCCTTTTTCATTTCAACCCTCCAAGTGTATTCAGCATGTGCAGCACTAGCGCCAAGGTGCCATCTGAAGCAGAAAGATAATTACAGGTGGAAAGAGGGAACTTACCCCTTCCACCCCACATCTCTGCCAGCCAGGCGGACGTGCACACATGTGGACTCTCTGTTATACAGAAGACTACATGCATCATGCGATCATGCATGGGCCACTGGAGAGATGAAACACGTGATATGTCCAAATTCCAGTTTTAAAAGTGTGGAAGGGGAAGTGTTCCTTTCATCAAATTACAGTATGCCACCCACTAGTATCTTCTCGTGATGGCTGCAGATTCTGGGTTAATTTCAGGGTTTGGAGTAATTGAAGAAAAGAAAGAAATGGGAGTCCTTCACCAAACAAGAAATAGGCAAACTTGAGGGTTTTCTCAAGACCCAGCATTTAAGTGGATTATCCATGGTTCTCCCCTCTGGGTCCCAGCATGGGGCCTTCAGGTCTTCACCAACCAGACATGAAGTATGTGTTAGGACACAGGTGGCCACTGCCTTTTCCTGGTGCCACGTCACAGCTTGTGACTTGAAAGAAAAGCCAGGCTTCCCCACTCCCATGTTTTCCAGGCCCACACAACCTCATATCCAGTGTCAAAGGATGCTGGGGAGATTCCAGGGCTGGCCTTGTACGCCTCATCTGCAACTTCTCTTTCCTTCCAAAACACATGACTCTGTGTGTATCTACTTTAAAACTCTCAGAGATTAGCTCCCAACACCACAGGATGGATGTGGCAACCTTGTCATGCCATTAATTCTGCTTCCAAGGGAACTTCACTGATTTTGCCTCCTCGTCACTTTAAGAATGGCTGCACAGACTTTCAAAAAAATAAAAAATAAAAGAGATGCTTTTGGACCAAAACTAAGTGAGTATTTTTTTTCCCCACTCAAGTGGAAAGCTGAGTTTTTCTGGGTGTAGGACAGGAAGGCAAGGAGCTAGTGAGAAAAGGTGACCATCTGAGGTCAGAGACCCAAAGGCAACTGGGAGAGAAGCAAGAAGGTAAGCTGACATTCCAAAATAGACCAGGGGCTAAATCTCAGCTCAAGAGCTAGAGCTGGTGTTAGTTCCCTGGGGTGCAATGATAAAGTCCCAGGCAGTAGGGCTCAGAACAGGAGAAATTTATTTCTCCCAGTCCTCCTGGAGGTTGGAAGTCCCAGCCAAGGTGTCAGCAGGGCTGCTTTCTGGAGAGGCTGCTCTGCTTGGTGCAGAGTCAGCTGTTTCTACCTGTATCCTCATATCGTTATCCCTCTGCGTCTGTCTCTGCATCCAAATGGCCCCTTTCCAGAAGGACATCAGTCATATTTGGATCAGGGTCTGCCTTACTGACCTCGTCTTAACTGACTGTATTTGCAATGACCCTATTTCCAGATAAGGTCACATTCTGAGGTACTGGGAGTGAAGATTTCAAAATGTGAAATTTGGAGGGAGACACACTATAGCCCCTAATAGCGTATCACCCAGAAAAACTGAAGAGCAAAGTTGTTTATTAGACACATCTGTCCTTTTACACCAGTCCTGATTTCAAGCATCTCCATCAAATATGTGGGGTCATCAAGATTCCTGCTACTCTGTCCCTGACATGTTTGCCATGACCCAGAATGTTCTACATGCACCCTACCCGAGGCAGACAAGACAGGCATTCTGCCCCTTTCTAGGAAGGCTGTTCAGAGGTTTTGGTAAAGCCTCTCCCATGAAGACATCGTGGTGCTTTCACAGTGTGCACAGAGGAGGCAAAGCAGGGCAGAACCCACATCCAGGCCCATAACAGGAACAGGCCTGCCCAGCAATGGTGCTCAAAGGGCCTCCCAAGCAAACCAGGGGAAGCAGCCTTTTGTGCTAACGAAACAAATCACACAAAAACACCTGTTAGGGAATTTCCTTTTTCATACCAGTTTTTTAAAAAAGTAATTCCAGCATGACAGCCCGACAGCAGCATGACCAAGAAGAGCCCCCTCCTGCCTGGTTGTGCACGAGGACGGATGGCAACACGCAGACAGACTGGGCTCTCCCGGGCAGCAGTTCTGAGAACCTGTGGCCACAGCAAGCTCCTATGAGGCTCAAACTCCTGAGAGAGAGAGAGAGTTTATTCACCACAACACATTCACCTACGGGTGGCCTGGAGTGACAGCAGTGGGCGATGGGAACAGGTCAGGAACCACACCTGAGAGTGCCACAGAATTGAGACATCTTTTGGACCCTCCCAGTTCTGAAATTCTGATTCTAGGACAATGAACTTCGGAAAAAATCAACAATAATTGAAAGGGAGCAAATTGAAAGGTATTTGCCTTACCTCTTAGGTTAACATAACAATTCAACTAATTAATGTAAGACCATTTAAAATGCAGGTAAGAGTCACCAAGTTCACTGTGACTTCACATTTGTGAGTACTCCTGCACCCGCCCGAGAAGTATGGACGAGACACATGGGAAAACAGGAACAAAACCCAGAGGGACGGGGGAGAGCCCACAGTGACCTACGTCTAATTGATCATGTCAGTCCTCTAGACCTTCCAGAATGACAGGTGCCACTGGGACAATAAGAAAAGTCAATTTTACAAAAATCACTTAATCCAAGTGTACTATCACCCCCACCAAAGATTTTTTTTTAAGATTTTATTTATTCATGAGAGACACACAGAGAGAGGCAGAGACACAGGCAGAGAGAGGCAGAAAGAGAGAAGCAGGCTCCATGCAGGGAGTCCAACATGGGATTCGATCCCAGGTCTCCAGGATCACGCCTGGGCCGAAGGCAGGCGCCAAACCGCTGAGCCACCCAGGCGTCCCCCCACCAAAGATTTTAAACATCAGTTTTACTCACTATAAATGCGATGCCCCAACACTGGGGCTGGGAGAGTCGTAGATATCTAATAGCACAATGAAAAATAAAATGGGAGTTTCTACAAAGCAGGTCAAGATGAGTCACCAAAGGAGAACTTAGGACAAGCAATGCTGTGAGCCAAAATCACACACAGGAGCCACCACTAGAGGTACTTTATCCCATCAGAGCGATGACAGCCCGACAGCAGGCCCGAGGACAGAACACAATCCATAATCTTCGGTCTCCCAAGGAAGAGTCCCTCCTGCACCTGCTGACGCTGCTGCCACTGTCCCTGGGCAGCAGACAGGCCTGAGGTTTCGGATGTAGACATGTCCAGATCCCCCCAGGAGGCCCTGCTCCAGGCACCTGTTGGCTGTATTCCCTACACAGAGTTTCTGCCGCAGGACATCCAACATCCCACGGCTGCCCTGACCACCTAGCAGGACCTGTCCCTGTTCAAGCGGCAGGGCACTATGTTGTGGCCCTGCATTCTCTGCCCAGAAGGGTGCCATGAGCCCTCTCTCTGGGGGTGCGCCTGTCCCACGTCCCTCCGGCAGAGCAGACACTGGGAGCTGAGCAGATGTGGCCACGGTTTGCATGGCCTGGAGTAAAACCTCCAAATCTTTCACTGGGTTGCAAACCAGCATTCTGGGCTTGACTCCGAAGGGCTGAGGTCTCCTTATTGAGAGCACCTGAAAAGCTTGCAGCTCCAGGACAGGCCTCTAGGGAATGCTTCTCACCACCCACCTGCCTACCTGAGACTCGATGTGCTGCGGGCTTGCCTCCAAAATTGGCAGGCAGCAAACAACTTTCAAGAGTTTTTCTAATGAACAGTATTTTACCTACACAATTCTCCCTGCTGCAAAGCAGGATTTAGCTAGTTCTACAGCATCTGCTATTCTCTGCATGAGCTTTTCTGACCTCAACCAAATCTGTATTCCTTTCCATCTTAAAAAGGTAGAACTCATCTGACTGTGGAGGCTCTGCTGGGGAAACTGAGCACCTTCCCAGTCGGGAAGCAGAAACACACTGTGTCATGGCTGCAGATGATGAGACACACATGTGAAGGGACCTTTACCTTCTCCAGTGACAGGGCAGTCCTGTCCAGGGCAGTCCTGTCTACACACCTTTGAAAGGTCACTTTCTCCCCTCGCCGTCCTGCTGCACTTTCTAACCTCGGTTCCGTGCCACCTTTTGTACTCAAACCACATTCCTGGTTTTTGTTTCCGTTACAGGTTTGTCTCTGTTGCCTGCTATCAGACACCCTGGACAGCAAAGCTTCAGAAAGGCACAGACGGGACTTTAGGCAAAGGGATTTTGCTCAACTTTGCAGACACTGTTACAGACACAGAATGGACAAAGTACACAGTGCACAAGTCCTTGCCCACAGGTAACACTCTGCCACTGGCCCCAGAAAGCACATAAGTGCACACCCTCAGCCCTCCCCATCAGCACCCCAGAGCTCTCAGACTTGGGACGAGCTCAACCTTCTGGGTCCTGGGCCCAGAGTAAGACCAAAGATCCCCAAGAGCCCAGGCACAGCACCCACCATGACCCTGACCTGGGAGCCAGTGCTCACGGTTCAACAAAACCTTGATCCTAAAATATCACATTGCTGAGAGGAATGGAGAACAAATTCACAATGCATTTATTAAGAAACAAGCCTTCAAGAGCATGAAAGCAAGATGTCTCCCACAACATCCACAAACTAGCAGCCATGAGGACGTGTATGCATGCTCCCTAGAGCTCTTCCTCGCCTGAGAAGTCGGAACAGGAAAGAAACATGCGTAGACAGAATGACAAAGGCACCAACACGATGAGATTTTATTCGTTCAGTTACAGTGACATCTGGTGGTCTTCTATACTAGATGGAAATACTCCCAGGCTGAAACCAAAACACATCCTTACAGTATCTTTGGGATTGAAAGCAAAATACCATCAGAGGCATCATAAAATATTAATAAAATAATGAAAAAATTAATAAGAATATGTTTATACATATTTTTAATTTTAATAAGCGAAAGGAATAAAGCACAATTTTCCTCTTCCTATGCCACACCATGTTAAGGTAGCTTGGATTAGAGTAGCTCCCTCTATAGAGGAACGCTTCAAATAGAATTTTTAAAAGCAGCAGCAATCAGTCCCTGAGGGCAGGAGCCCACAGGCCTCCCCTCTGTGAAAACCATTCATCAGCACCTTTTTTTTTTTAAGATTTTATTTATTTATTCATGAGAGACACAGAGAGAGAGGCAGAGGGAGAAGCAGCCTCCATGCAGGGAGCCTGATGTGAGACTCGATCCCGGGTCTCCAGGATCACGCCCTGGGCTAAAAGGCGGCACTAAACCACTGAGCCACCCGGGCTACCCTGTTCATCAACATCTTACAGGAAGCTCTTCTCTTTTTGAGTGAAATTGGGAGGAAGTGGATATTTATTACTTATTTCTGCAAAATGATACTTATTACTATATATGTCAAAATTAAATAAAATGGGTAATTCAGTGGCCTCAAAAAAAGTCTAAGTGATAAGAAAAGGTAACTGCATAATATAAATGTTTCCCCTGTGTTTGCTGAAGTACACTTGAACATATAACCAGGTCTTTGCAGTTTGACTATGGTGATAATATAAAAGATGGAGGAAGAGGGGGAGTCAGATTAAAATTTCAGATTTTGATCAAAGGTGAAAAGTGTTTTTTGTGTTTTGTTTAAGATTTTAAGTCATCTCTATACCCAATGTGGGGCTCAAACTCACAACCCTGGGATCAAGCATCTCCCGCTCCACCCACTGAGCTGGGCAGGTGTCCCGAAAGTCAAATATGTTTACATAAAATACGACTGGCATAAACACTGGACTTCCTCAGTAATATGTACATCTGTTTGTATATTCCTATAGATACGAAAGAGAGTTTGGAATTCTAACAATGTTATTTTAGAAGATACAGAGGTAATCTCCATATTCACCACCCATTCTAGCAATCACTTTACCCTCTTTAAGTAAAAAAGAAAAAAGCATCAAAAGGTAATCATCCTATCTCCCTCACCATGCAGTCTTAATTATCACAGCGCTCAGAAGTTACACATCCTTACTCAGAATTCCCATCTTACAGTGAATGGGTGGCATCTCCACAAGTGGATGAACATCCTAGGTTTACTCTCTGGCCCCAGGGGACTATTTCCATTCTCCAGGCCTCCTGCAGGGGTAGCACCTGACTCAAACTCTCCTTCCCACCCGCCGGGCCTCATCTCAGTGTCCACCCTCTGCACTCACATACACTGGCCTGTGCTCAGGCCAACACCTGCTCTCTGGACAGTGTGCAGAGCTTGCTTCCCTCAAGAAGCAGTGGTCCACCAGCTGGCTACTGTGCTGCCCAGGGCCACATCCTCTGTCCACAGTCAGGACTGAGATGTCCGGCCTGGTCCCTCAGCAGCTCTGGCTGGATGGCGATGTCAGGGTCACCACACAGACCAACAGGGTACCTGACACCTGGAAGGCACTTGAGAATGAGCAAAACTACAAATGACAAAACCAAAGACTCTGATCTGGCCTCATTGCCTCACTAATGCGACTGAGAATCACTCCACTTAGTGCTGGCATGACGACTCCTCTTGGCTCATGCAACTCCCAAGACAACGAAATGGCAAGAAATGAAGGAAAGGCTATGCGTAAGCAACCAGCTTCTCCTCCAAACCCCTACCCCCCAGATTCATTCTGCAAGCAACAATCCCTTCGAGTTAACAAAACCTGTGGTGGCCCTGAACATACCCCTCTGGCCCTGAAGAGGTGAGGGCTCACCCAGGCCTGCTGCATGGTCAAAGGGGACTCTTGAAATGGGAGATCTTCAGGACTGGCCGGGCAAAATCCATAGCTGGAAACCAGCCACTCTGCCCATGATTAGGGATTCCTGGGCCTGGTGAGGCACGTGAGGTAAGTGCCAAAACATGCACAGATCATACACTCCACCTCTTCCTGACCCAGGGCCGCTGACCCAGGCTGAGGGCTGATGCACCTATGACTCGAACCCGAGCTCTGCCTCCAGCCAGGCCTGGCACCTTCGCATTGCTGTGGCTTCTGAAGAAATGACCAGGGCCACACCAGCAAGGCAGAAAAACTGGCCGACCTCCACACAGGTCACCCATGCCTGAGAAGGGGATGTGTTGTGTGGCACCCCACGGAGGGGCACTGACCAGAGCCTGCCC